GCGCCGCCCGGGGATGCCTCCTCCGGTTGTTGGCCTCAGCACTGACAGTCAAGGCCAGGGTCGTCCTCAGCTGGAAGTCGCCCGCGGACCTGTCAGGGCAAATAACCCACAGTTAGCTAGGAGCGCCGGGTTTGGAAGCCATCCCGGACACGTCCACCCACGCCCGGGGAACTTGGCGCGCAAGGCGAGGCAGGCCGACGGCTGCGGGTGGAGCCAGGGGAGGAGGCCAGGGGTCGGAGTTGTGCAAGTCTTCCTCTTGCAGACAAGTCGGTGGACCCGAGGACGCACTCCAGATGGGGCCTGGAGACGAAGTCCCAGAACCATCCATCCAGCCTCACTGAAAGCCACTCCAAGGACCCAGTTTCCTCCCTTCCTCCCTTCCTCCTACCCATTCTTATCCAGGCAGTGTCCTGTCCCAATTTTGTAAAGACTTTGTCCATTTTCGACACAAAGAACAAACCCCCAAGAAGCTCTTTGGGGTGAAAAATAGTAAGGAAAGAATCAAAACGAGCGATGGAGAGCTCCCACTTCCCCGCGCCTGCAGTCCCCGGGAGCCCCCAGAGATGGGCAGACTCCGTCAGAGGTTCCCAAGACAGGATTCCCAGCGCGGCTACTGATCGGATTTGGTCACCAACCCGGGTCCCTTCCTCTCGCGGGACGCAGCACTGCTCCCCTGCGCCCGCCCGCAGTTTCCCCGGTGGCTGGTCCTCTCGAGGGGACCGGGAACAGCAGTGGACCAGGAACAACACAGCGCCGCCTTCCTCCCGGCCACCCCCACAAGACTCCCTTTCTAAGAAGAGAGAAGTTCGCAATCTGGACTGTCCTTTCCCCATTGCTCCGCACGAAGAGGCAGGTCCCACCTCTCTCCTGCAGACAGCTTGCGGACCCGCGACGGTCCTCAGCCAAACACCCACGCCAGTGCCATCAACGCACGGACCCGGAGCAGGTGGGTCAGGGTCGTCACTTGGCACGTCTAAGCCGGGATTGGCGATGGCTGCTAAGTTCTGCACAGAGAATGGGGCGAGCTGTGCCAAGGGAGGGACGCCGCGCCGCCGGGTCCCCCCGCAGGGCCACCACTGCACCACCCTGCACCGCCCGCCCGCCGCTGTTTGAAGCCCCGCACCCGCACCAGGCACAGCCCCCCACTGGCACAAACCGTGTCCGCACCTGTCCGCCTCCTGTACTGCTCTTGGTCTCCCACGGGCAAAAACTGTGCCCGAACCCCCGCGTCCGCACTCCGCACACCCACCAGCACCCTGTCCTCTAGTGGGCCCGCACCTGCACCCACGGTGCCTCTCTGTGCGCTCTGCATCGGACCCGCTTGGCGCCCCACCCCAGGCCCGCACCGGGTCCTTTACCAGGCACACACCGCTCGCTCACCACACCCGCTTCCACGCACCGGATCTTTTAACCGGTCTGCGTCTCCATCCAAGGAACCTCGCGCCACACTCGCCACACTGAAGCCCGCTCCCCACGCCATGCCCACCCATCGCGGAATCCCGCACCGGGTCCTCTAGCGAGCATACACCTCGCCCGCACCCGTGTACAAACTGCTGCGCCCGGCGCCTCTGGGCCCGTACCCGGCTCTTACCTGGCACCAGGAGCGCAAGCCTCCCAGACGGCTGGAAAATCAGGCCCCCTCAAAAGCACCGTTCCGGTCTCTTCTTTGCGATTCTTTGTCGTCTTTTCCAAATTCCCTCCAAGTCTTACCCCTGAAGAGCGTGACCACTTTCATAATTAAGGGGAAAAAAATAAAATAAAAAGCAAACCGAAAAAAAAACACACAGTTGTTTTTTTAAAAGAAGAAGAAAAAAAATGTTTAAAAAAATTTTTGGCGTAGGGCTTTGTTCGGTTTCTGCGGCTGTGAGGCGACGATTTCGAGAGCCCGGGGCCGGGCAGCGGCCGGCTATGGCCAGGATGGGCGTCTGCTCCAGAGCGCTCGGGGAGCGCGCTGGCGCTCGCGCGGATTGATGGAAGCGAAGGCTAAGCTCTGGAGCGACCTGGGAGATGCGCCTTGCTTGGAGCCGCGCTGGGGGCGCCGAGACGAGCCAGCACGGGCCTGGGGCGCCACCTACGGGCGTCGGGGCCGCCCTGCCGCCCGCTCGGCAAGGTGGCTGGACAGGAGAGTCCCTTGTCTAAGATAGGCAACTTGAATCCCAAAAGCAGCGCTGGGCTTTGCAAAATTATCACCACCACCACCACTACCACCACCACAGACGTTCTTCCTGAATCCTCCAAAAATAGCCTAGCCTGACAACATTGAGCGGCTCCCCCTGATACTGCCGATCTTCACGGCTCTCACAAACAACTCTGACAAGATGATGAATCCTAGAGTCAGGATTGCCTGGGCAGCCCTGGCACACACATCACGGTGGTTGCTGTCCGAGCCAGCTCCAACCAAAACACAGGCAGTATTTAGTAGGAGCTCTGTTCATAATGGGACTTTCACAATCATAGTTTAAAAAAATACTTTTTCCCTTGATTTGCATGCTGTACCTTTTCTGATAGACTCCCAAAAATACACCCTAAAGGTGCATGCTACGGCTGCTCCTCAAACAGAGCGCGGGCATTGCTTCTCCCTTCAGCTCTCCTTCCCCTGAAAATTCTGTCTGTGTTCCAATGCTATCCCTATAATCCGGGTCTTCTCCGGAATAGGTTCTGCTGACCTTGAACTGATGACTCTTAGGCCCTACTGGAGCTCTGGTAACATATTGGTTACGAATCAGGCTGCGAACCGCAAGGTCAGCAGTTAGAAACTACCAGCTGTTCCGCGAGAGAAAGGTGAGGCTTTCTGCTCCCGTAAAGATTTACAACCTCGGAAGCCCTGTACAGGGTCGCTATGAATCGGAAACGACTCCACAGCACATAACAACAATACTCTCTTGATTTGCAACGGCCAGGGCCTCATCCGTTAGCACAGACATTGAAGTATTCTTCAAATCAATTCAGCCATGATGAATGGATCAGAAGGACACAGCAACTGGGAAACAGAATGGCCCTCTGAGTGAGGCACAAGGGTTACAAGCATGGCATTGACAGAACCTTGGAGCCGTATGTTTTCTACTTAACACAATGGGCAAAATAGTAGTTGTTGTTGAGTGCCGTACTGACCCATAGTGGCCCTGAATAGGGTTTCCGAGGCTTTGCAGTGTGGTGCATTAACTCACAGCGCCATAATACGAAATATAGAAGAGCCCCCAAATCTATCATTCTACTAAAATGTATTCAGTAGAAATGAAATCCTTTAATTCAATATTTTTATAATATGGTGGGCATATGAGCTGGATTTACAAGAAAACTGGATCCCAGCCATCATTGGTTTCCTTATCTTAACTATCCTGTGAGGTTGTTGTTGTTGTTGCTAAGTGTCCTTGAGCTGGTTTCTACTCATAGCACTTGAACCGCCAACCTTGGATTCAAAACGACCTTGCAGTCCATCTCATTAATCCACAGCTCCACACCAGGACTCTATTTGTGAGGTTGTTGTTGTTAAGTTCCATCGAGTCAATGGTATAGAGACCCACCCTGTATAGATAGGCTTTCTGAGGATCGGCTGGTGAGTTTGAACCACCAAACTTGTGGTACAAACTGACTTTGAGTTCGAGAGCTTATCCTACAGCACCACAGTGGAAATTGTTAATTCTTGTTTGCAGTTAGTTTACTTTATTCCACTGCTATATTAATTTGACAATAGCTTACTGTCAAAATAAACACAATTCTATCACTCCATCATAGAGTGCTAATTTGTGTGCAAGCATAAATAACAGACGACACTTGGTGTACGAAAGACACGTGAGGCATAGACTGATAATTAGGCCAATTTGGGGATGCTAATTAGTAGCAATCCCTCACACATATCTATGTATCTTTACGTTGCTATTAAGGAACTTTCTTCAAAACCATGCTATAAGCATAGCTAACATACATGAACCAAACCATCATAACCTTTACAAATGACAACAAAAACTTTTCTATGTATCAATGACATGTTTACATTCCATGCACAGTAGAAACATCTCAACTATATGGTGATTTAAATTATGGAATGAGAACAATATGCATTATTATCTAATGGAAAAAGAAAATTGGTTAGGATTACATTTAGGCTTGTGAATGCCATTTAGAATGAAACTGTTAACTGTCAAACAGCATATTGATTGAGAAACTGAATATTATTTTCTCACTTATTGATTAAACGTTCTACCTGTAGGGAGACATTCCAGTCATGTGAGGTCATTTTAGTCCCAAAACATGCTCAGAAAATTTTCAGGCTAGAACTAAAAGTTAAAAGGAACATGTTTTTACAGTTATGTTAGTGTGCAGTTACTTGTTTTGGGTGTTCCATTAACAAGTGACTAGTTACGGTTGGTATTATTTCTAGGATGTTTGTAGTAGGTACTGTTCTCTTAGATTTAGAAACATCTCTATAGATAGCAATAAGAGTGTTAGCCATTGATTGGATACTTGTGCGGTGTCAGATACCGTCCTGTATCTAAGATACAACATGTAGGTTACCATACATTAGCACTCTGGTGGAGAGAAGCTTAACTGAAATTGAAGAGAAAGGTGTTCTAATGTTTGGGAAAACAGTGTGTGTGTATGTGTGGAAGGGGGTCATAAGGATGATGCAAATTATCTTCCTTTAATTCTACCAGAATATTTATTTTCAATAGAGTTTAACTTGGTTTTCTTCTACTAGACCCCACCTTGAGCACATAGTGCAATCTACTTTTTCTCCTGGAAACTAACTAATGCATCACATTTATGATTTCATTCTAGGTATGCCATGAATTGGATAGGCACAGTGGTGGCAACAATGAGCTGAGACTTAGCAACCATGGTGAGGATGGTTCAGGAAGTTTC